TGAAATGTTAATAGCTGGTTTTGATCATTACAAATTATTTGTATGTATCAAATTATCATGCAGTATCTCATAAAATGCATGCTATGTGCCAATTAAAACATAAAGACAACTAAATAATAAGAATTTAGGACAAACCGGTGGCTACTTAGATGTAATCATTAAGCAATATTCAAGTTATGGAAAACCCAGTGTTTTAGCTTTGATGTCCAATATTCTTTCCCAGAGTTTCAAACTCCTACCACTTCCCTGAGTAGACCTTTACAAAGTTAGGTCACAGATATTGTTCCCATCATTGAACAGTTTTCCATGAATATTTCACAGATGATGGCTATACCTTTGGACAGTCTGGTTGTGGACACTTCAGGAGTCTAGTTGTGAGTGTTGGCCCCAACTCTGGTCATCCCTTTTTGAGGCCACATCAGTTGGCAGATTTTCACAGGCCTAAGTCACACCTGCATGTGGGTCACATCTATGTTGTCCTTCAGGGGTGAGATTACCTCGGTCTTGTATTCACCATCAGTTTGACAATGCTGGCACTGCCTGATGTCTGACATACTGATGATTAGAAGCTGCATCTGTGTTACCCTGAAGACTCCAGCCAGGTTTCCACCTCGTGAATACTATGCAGTTCTGATGTAAAGTTTCTTCCTGTGGTCTCAAGTAATTCTACAGGCTACCTTTTAGCTTATAACTCTGGTGAAACTCATAGTCTGGCCCTGCCATGCCATGACACAGCAGGGAGTTTTTAAAATGGTGTCTTGCTATTGATTTGGTAGATGGTTGAGTAGAAAAGGATACCGAGTCTTTTCTACTATTAAGTGTAATCTTTCCCTCCATTTCTTTCTCTTTAAATGTCTGTTTGGGGGTGTACAGTGTCAGTTTTCTGACACCCTCTCTGTCTTAGGCCACAGCTCCAGTTATACTCTTAGTGGGAAAGGAGAGCCAACTCCCTAGACTGTGTAGATCTACCCAGGACAGACTGGATTCTTCATGTTCTGCTTTGTAAGTTTCCTTCTTTGATGCTAAACAAGAGATTCCTTGTCATCTTATCTTCTGGAAATTGGCCCAGCATTTGATATAACTGCACAGAAACATTCCCCATCAGCTTTCTCTTTCTTCAGTAGAAGGGTTTGCAAACGGACAGACTGGATTCTTCATGTTCTGCTTTGTAAGTTTCCTTCTTTGATGATAAACAAGAGATTCCTTGTCATCTTATCTTCTGGAAATTGGCCCAGCTTTTGATATAACTGCACAGAAACATTCCCCATCAGCTTTCTCTTTCTGCAGTAGAAGGGTTTGCAAATCCACTGGGTTCTTCTTTTAGTAGACAAATAGTCCTGGTGGGAGAACTCCCTCTGAGGGGAAGGAATGGACCAGACAGGGTCCAGAACATCAGGTTAGGAGTCAACTGTCATTGTCTTACTGGTACATCCTCCATAATCTAGACTGGAGTTTACTCCATAGACCGCAGAAGTCACAGCTCCCTGCTTTGTGTGCTGAGTTTCTGATGGACCTCTTAGATTCCTACCGAACACATAAAATGGAATGATCCTGACCCATGAAATAATCCCAAATAGATGATGAAATACAGGGTTCAGAAACATCTCATCCGGCTCCAAGCCTGCACAGGATGAACATCACACATGAATCATGGCTTCTCATGACAAGATGTCAGAAGCTTCTACGTGGTCAAACAGATGTGGCTTCCCACTTGCTAGAGGAAGTAAAAGTGCCTTTTAGCACCTTAGATGCATGCCTTGTGCGGAAGGATTGCTTCTCTCTGCTTGAGGCCGGAGTTTAGTGTGTAGCTCCAAGCATTTCCTCATCCAGGATGACCCAGCCTGAAAGAATATGTTCTTGCACAGATAACTCTATGCAAGAGAGGAGAGGAAATTGTTGGTGGAATGAAAAAAAAAAAGGAAAATGCCTGTTAAGAATCAATTTATTGCCCTGGTATGCAGATTTAGGTTGTGCCCCAAAGTCTCACCATTTACCTGAATTGAAAACACACAACTACCTGAGCAAAAAATATCAGGGTCCATAGGCATTCAACAACCTCACGCTCTCGGGAGGCAGAGGCGGGTGGATCTCTGTGAGTTCAAGGCCAGCCTGGTCTTCAGACCGAGTGCCAGGATAGGCTCCAAAGCCACACAGAGAAACCCTGTCTCGAAAAACCAAAAAATAAAAATAAAAAAGTAATGCATTTCCTGATTATTTTCCCCAGTATTGTTTGCAGTTGCTACTGACTGTTTTTTGATAAATGGATGAGAACTTATTATTACTTATTATTAAAAACTAAAAACAAAAATAATAAGAAAAAATCAAGGCAATTGAATAATCCTTATCAACCAGATGTCATTAGCATCAATGGGTTGATATAGACACCTCTGGTAGTGGCTTTGTATACATATCTAGTGATATTGAATGCATTTCATCATTATTTAATATGTTATTAAAATTGTTTGAAAGAATTATGTTGTAGGGTTAGATATATGGCTCAGCAATTAAGAGTGCTTGTTCTGGTCCCAGAATACTGAGTTTGGTTTCCAGCATTTGGGTCAGGCAGCTTATAACTACCTGTAACTCCAGCTTCAAGGGAGCTGACATCCACTTTGTCTTCATGGGTAGACACACACACACACACACACACACACACAAACACACACAAACACACACTCATTGAGAGAGAGAAAGAAAGAGAGGTACATACCCACAAACAAAATACACCATTTTAAAAGAATTGTGTTTTCTATAAAATGTTTTGATTTTTATTAAAAAATCTTAGTGTTTATTTTCTAAAATTTAACTATTTTACTAGTATATGTCAATTATACATAAAGGGCTTCATCATGGAATTTTCATACATAATATATTTTGATCATGTTCACCTCCTCTTGACCTCTCTTGCCCTCTTCCTTTTAAATTATTTTGTTATACAACTCTTGCTGGCTTTCATAACTATATTAATTTTCATTCCTATGCCAGAAAATGAGAAGGAAGAGTGTAGCAAAGAAAAAAGACAGACATTAAGTGTTTAGAAACATCTAGATTTAGAACTACCTACATTTACCTTGCCAGTATTCTCCTTGCAGAAGAGTGAGGTCAAGAAAAGAGGAATGAAGAATGAGAAATTGCTAGCCTGTCTCCAAATGAATGTTGTGGGGAGAGTGCTCCACTTCTGATGAGCCATCCCTGGACTGTTTGAAGAGAAGGATCAAATACAGAATCATTACAACTACTCAAAGGCATTCAATGCTCAGTTTTCTGAGTCCAGCTGCCCTCTCCTGAGGTATTAGTAGTATATAAGCATCTGATTATAAACTAAGGGCAGCATCCTCTGAGGTGCCTGAGATTTCCAGTTAAGTGTAGCCCAGACATTGTTCACAAACTTACCCTTTTTTGTCAATTGGCATAAATCAGTTTCCCTATGCAGGGTTCCTTGGCATGAATGGACCCACAGTGTGGTATTTCTGTATTTACAGAACACTATTATGGTTTGAGTAGTGACTGGAGAAACTCAATCTGTGAAGACCAGGAACAGGCCTCATCCCTTCTAACCTTGCTTCTCTACTACATCAGTGATGGCCCAGGATTATTCAATTCCCTGAAAACTTCAGGTCATACAGGCAACAACATTGATCAATGAATTGAAACGTAATTGCATGTTGGTTGTGGTATGGTTTGGGGAGCCATGGGAGTGAAATTCAAAGTGTTCTTAGCTTCTCTAGATCCCCTGACCACTAGTTAATGTACATTTACCTTGCCAGTATTCTCCTTGCAGAAGAGTGAGGTCAAGAAAAGAGGAATGAAGAATTGTAATTAATGAAGAAAAGAGGAATGAAGAAATGTAATTAACGCATTGTAATTATCCTAAGTAACTCATAGAGCTGAGCTTCCTTTAACCCTGATCCTTGATCACTCGGTCTATAGCCTCTCTCTGAATGATTAGTTTAACAGAATGGCATCAGCACAAAAAAGGAGATGGGGAAGGAAACTAAATTGTGTTCTTCAAAGGACATCAAAACAAGTTCTGATTTCTTTAATTCTGAAAGGAAGAGCCACATTCATTTCTCTACACCTACTGAGAGTTAGAGAACTTAAAAGTACAAAAAGTATACTTGTAAACTGAATATACGGAAAAGCTACGTGTTTGTACACAGGTACACATACTTCTTGGTCACTGTATGTTTTTGATAAATTAAAACTGAGATAATGGTGTGGCTTTTGTCTTCCTTGTGGTATTTCTATCTGAAAAGAAACAACTATGTAAGGTCACTCACTCACGTGAGTGACAAATCAGGTCAAAGCGACTGGTGTTCCAGCATACTACAAACAGACTTGTCTTCATCCTTAATCTCAGCCACAGATAACATCATACACACACCAGGACGTGAGGGCTTATAGCCACGAGACATCATAAAATGCATGAGTGCTACTTCGCCCCCTTCTGCACGAACAGCCTCCAACCACAGGAAGCCAATGAGAAATCTAAGGCTTGTCCATGAGGCAGAAATATCCTTGTCTGGTGGGTATAAAAGCTGGTCAAGAGGCTTGTAGCAACAAGCCTCTTCATTTTCAGAGAAAGAATCTGGCGCTGGAGACTGACAAGAGAACAGAACAGTGAGCCAAGTCCAAGAGAGTGAACAAAAAGCCGAAGCAGGCTCTCCAGGTAAAGAACAGGTGAAATGTGGGATCTGCTTTTTCGGAGGACCTGTCAATGCTGGGTAAATGCTGGGATGGAGAAAACAGGGGCATGAAATGTGGAGAGTGTGTGTTCACATGTATGGTATACTATATTTTGTTGCATGTCCTAGGAGTCTTAAATACTCAGCTCTTCTTTGCCAATTTTGCAGTTAACATAGCCTGAAATGGTTTTAGGAGAACTGTTGATTTTTCAAGCAACTACCATTCAAGTAACTGCTTTCTTTCTCATCTTTCTGTTTGCTTCAGGCTCCCTGGTGGATGTTCAGGACTAGTGTGTGGCTGGGAATATCTGCACCATGAACACCTTCATTGTCACAATCCTCATCTGGACCACAGCAGCATGTGCTGACAAGCTTCTAGAACAGACCACTAGTTTTCGAAAGTGCCAGGATGCTTTGAATATACCAGTTTTAGAAGTGCTACCTGGAGGTGGCTGGGATAATCTGAGGAATGTAGACATGGGACGCGTGATGGACTTGACATACACCGACTGTAAGACCACAGAGGATGGACAGTACATCATCCCTGATGAAGTCTTTACCATTCCTCAGAAAGAGAGCAATCTGGACATGAACTCAGAAATCCTGGATTCCTGGATGAATTACCAGAGCACCACCTCATTTTCCATCAACTTGGAACTTGATTCTCCTTTCAAAGTCAACGGCAAGTTCTCTACTGAGTTCCAAAGGATGAAGACCCATCAAGTGAAGGATCATGCTGTAACCACCAGGGTTCAGGTAAGAAACCTGGTCTACACAGTCAAAAACAACCCAAATTCAGAATTCACCTTGGGATTTAGGAAGGAGCTCATGGAAATATATGACTGTCTAGAGAAAAACCAGACAAAGATGGCCACCTACCTGGCAGAACTGTTGGTCCTCAACTATGGCACACACGTAATCACTAGTGTGGATGCTGGGGCTGCATTGATTCAGGAGGACCATATAAAATCCTCCTTCCTTAAGAACAGTAAGGGAGACCGCGTTGCGGTGACTGCATCTGCTGGAGCTACCTTTGCAAAGATTATGAATTTCAAAGCTGGCACAGAAGTTTCCTACAAGAATGACATGACCACAGCCTACCTTGCTAACAGAACCAACTCCAGGGTGCAGAGCATCGGAGGGACTCCATTCTACCCAGGCATCACCTTAGAAGACTGGCAGAAGGGCATCACTAACCACCTGGTGGCAGTAGACCGTGCTGGCTTGCCTCTGAATTTCTTCATCAAGCCTGACAAGCTGCCTGGCTTGCCACACCACTTGGTGGAGAAACTGTCAAAGACGGTGGAAACTGCTGTGAAAAGCTACTACACCTTTAACACATACCTGGGCTGCACAAATGTCGATTCCCCGAACTTCAATTTTCAAGCCAATACAGATGATGGCTCCTGTGATAGTCAGGTAACCAACTCTCCCTTTGGAGGCGCTTATCAGGAGTGTTCTCAACTCTCATGGAATGTCTTACATCCTGTCTGCACAAAGCTGGAGCAGAAGAATCCACTCACTGGTGATTTCTCCTGTCCCTCTGGCTACACCCCTATCCGTTTGCTGTCTCAGACCTATGAGGAAGGTTTCAGGTTTACAGAATGTAAAGACAAGTGCGTCCTGTCAATCTTCTGTAAGAAAGTGTGTAACGAAGTATTCGCAGTGGCCAAGGCTGAATTTAGGGCTTATTGGTGTGTGGCCAGTAGCCAAGTATCCAAAACCTCAGGACTTCTCTTTGGGGGAGTCTTCACTGACAAGAGCATCAACCCCGTGACAAATGAACAGTCATGCCCAACTGGGTATATTTCACTGAACCTGTTGGAGAACCTCAAGGTATGTGTTTCTATGGATCATGAGTTGGGGCACAAGTTTTCAGTCCCCTTTGGTGGGTTCTTCAGCTGCGCAATGGGGAACCCCTTGGTTAATTCTTCAACATCCGGAGACTTAGGGCAATCATTTCTGCAAAAGTGTCCTGGGGGCTTCAGCCAACAGCTAGCTCTTATCAAAGATGGATGCCAAGTGTCCTACTGCGTCAAGGCTGGGGCCTTCACAAAAGAAACCCTGGCCCCCGTTAGGCTACCACCTTACACTAAGATACCTCTTCTGAGTCAGTCTGACACCGACTCTGCTGTAGAGGCAAGGAATGATAGTGCCCTATTCTACACTGAGGAGTTGAGGGTAGAGGAGCCATCAAAAGGGAAAAGTGGTAGACTGTCACTTGGGTCGACTGCTGGAATCACAGTTGGGGTTATACTGGCATTAGGGATTTTAATTGCCATGGCCATCTATGGCACCCGGAGGTTTAAGAAGAATCAAGACAATGGAATTTCAAGAAGAATGAAGATTCCTTCTTTTCCAAGAGCTAGAGCCACCCCTGACGGGGTGCAGGATTCAAATCCAGCTTAATTCTTTCCCTAAAGAAACAGTTTCTCTCATCTCCAAGCATCTCTTTCACTCCTTTCTCCTCTGCCTTCCTAAGAAGGTAAAGTCACTGTTGCAATAAAAAGAAGGTTTTATAACTTAGTGATCGTGTTCTTGTCTCTGCATTGGGAATTAAAGGATCTATGTGAACAAGGTAGGGGAGGGAAGACTTTCAACTAATTCAGTGAAAACCAGCCCTGGTTTTCAACCATGATGGGAGTGTTCCTCCCCAGACAAGCCACAGGTTGCCTTCACCCAAATCTCTGTGTGTGTAAAGAGATGGGCCAGAGAGAAACAAGAGCTTTGGGATGAAACTGCATTTAGTCTGAAGTTGGCAGAAGTTTCCAATCTGTGGTCTAGAAGACTTTACCTTCCCTGTATCTTGTTTGGGGTTTTATGCTCCTAGAGGCAGTCAGGACTTTGAAAAGACACAGACATCCTGTTGAGCCACTGCTTTGGGGCCTCCTGATCTCTGAACTGATGATGACTGTGGCAATTCCCTGGGCACCTGAGAGGACTGCTGGCTCATAGCAAGCTCACTTCTGCCCCACGGGGTTTCCTTTGCCCAGACCACTTTTAGACTTCTTGCTCATGTCAACAAGTTTTCAGAAAATATTTTAACTTACGACTTCTCATATGAGGTCAAAAGCAAAAGGGTGGCGAGAAACTGGAAATAAATCAAGAAATGTAAAAACTGAAGAGGACTCCAATGTTCCATGAATTGGCTGATGTCTTTTAGCCAACTGATGTCTACCTCATCATAAATTAGACATTGAAAGGGACTGTTGTTTAGATAGGTCAATTATTTTGGTTTGATCTTCTATATTACCAAAAACATAACCCTTTCTTCTTCTGTGAATGACACTCACCCTTCATGTCATCCCATCCATCACAAGTGTTAGAACAAATACAAAGACACAAGCATAGATACACCCCCACATTACAACAGGAAATCTTTATTTTCCCCGGGGGTAAAAAAACACAAAAGTCAAAATAAGTTCCCATTTAAGCATTACCTCCTCCCTAAAACTAAAACTATACAGAAAGTATCATCTTCTGTCCCTTTAGGCTTTGCTAGTTTTCACTGCTAGAAGCAGGGCTGATGTGACAAAAGTTATGTCATTAAGTTAACTGGAAAAGGCATCCAGAACCTCCTGTGACATTTATTTCAACTACAGGATGGCTTCCATGGGACATCTGTCAGAAAAAATGATTGACACCTGGCAGTAGTTGGGGTTTTGCTCATTTTTAATATTGGATTTAATTCTCTACAACATAGAAATTCCCCCACAGCTGCTTTAGAAATTATGAGTCCATTCACCACAGCACACCATCAGTGGGCTATTGTCTGTGGAAGATAATGTGTTCTCTCCTTAATGTTGACAAACAAGGGCCTGTGCACACAGTAGGCTCTTCTGAAGAGCTCCAAGTGTCTCAGCCTCTGGGAATGTGGAAGAATTACTCATCCATTTCCAGCTGAGATACAGAGAGGAGTGAACAGTTGAGTTTGAATTCTGCCCTCCCTACTGCCCAGCCAGTGGGGTTCATTCTATGACCTCTTCACCAAACCTGATCTTTTCTGTATTAGATGTTCAGTATGAAAACTTTTTCCTTCTTGCTTTGTGGGTTCTGAGTGAGTTTTATGTGTTTCAGCCAAGCTAACAATTTTTCTTCAAGTGCTGCCTCTTCAATGCAAATTCCTTGAAGGATTACCGAATCTGCAAATCACAGCAGGAGACTGCTAGACCTTTAAGGTACAAACTTCCTAGTGAGACAAAAGTATTTCACTAACATATTTCTACTAACAAAAATGCATGCAAATATTCATTAAAAATGTGTGCCTAGTAACATTCTGTCCCAGTGCTCATCTGTTTGACATCAGAATTTGGGGTTTCTGCTTCACAGTCAAGCCATTTCACAAAGTCACAACCTGCTCTCCAAGTGGAACTCTTGGCTCTGCCAAGCTCTGGGTTCCTTAGGTTGGAGTCTGTGGCAAGTAAGGCCTGGCTTCTGAGAAAGCCACATCCTATAGAATATGAGAGATGGCCAGAGAATTTGATATAATGGAAGCTCTTCATTTCTTATTGTGTTATAATCAGTGTTAGAATAATTAAAACTAAACATTTATTTGAAGAAAAAAAAATCCTCTTGCAAATGATTAAAACATGCACTCTATTGTAGTCAAGTGAAGCCACTTTCAAGAAGTTAGCATCCAGGTCCAGAGAGCTGATTCAGCAGCTGAGAGCACTTGGTGCTCTCTGGGGTTGTATTCCTAATACCCACACAGCCACTCACAGCCCTCTAACTACAGAGCCGGGGGAGTGGGGGCAAAACTACAGGCAAAACGCTCATACGCATAACATCAAAACAAATAAATCTTAAGAAAAAAGAAGTTAACATTCCTAGTTTTCAAGATAACCATTCTTCCACAAGTTCACACTCATTTCCTTTGCCATGTGCTCTGTTAATTGGGAGGAACCTAGAGTCAAGCCAGGTCAAATGTGTGGGTAGAAGAGATATGGAGATTTTTAGAAAATAAAGAAAGTGGGGGGGGTTCCCTTTCTCTGGCTAGTTGGATTGAGGTTTTTCACACATAGAGGAAGTAACCCACGTGCTTCTGAGACAGGTGCCAAAGCACTTCTACAAAAGCAGGCCCTTAGGAGTAACAACAATTTGTGCTTGTTCATTTGCAGTTTATTGTTCTGCACATACACCTCATGAGCACCAGGGGGCGATGTCCTCTCGTAGAACAACACCAAGAACTTGAAATCACAGCAGTTACAAACAGAACACCTGACATCTGGACATCCACCAGCCCTCTCCCAGAAACCTCCATTCGGATGGTGTTGATAACAGACAAGCAAAGGGGGCAGCAATTGTTTCTTATGCTGGGTGGCTATGTTCTCAATGCTTTCATGATGTTGCATGCTAATCTCCTGATATAAAAACTTTCCATCTCGGTAGGGAAGCTTCTTAAGACTCAGAATGTTCTAAGGGAAAAGTCAACATTCCATTCTGTAGGTCACACTCATCCCTGAAGGGGGAGGGAGGATCAGGGCAGGAACTCAAGGCAGGAACTGAAGCAGAGGCCATGAAAGAGCACTGCTTACTGATGTGCTCCCTGTGGCATCCTCAACCTGCTTTCTTTTTTCTTTCTTTCTTTTTTTTTTAATTAGTTCAAATTAGGAACAAGCTTACTTCACATGTCAATACCCTCTCCCCGCCCCCAAACATCCCACATGCCCCTAGCCATCCCTCCTCCACTCCCCAGGCACTCAACCTGCTTTCTTATACAACACAGGACTAAGAGACTGGGGGCAGCACGGCATCAGTGTGGGCCCTTTCACATTAGTCATTACTCAAGAAAAATGCTCCTCAGGCTCATCCAAGGTCCAATCAGTTGGAGGCATTTTCTTAAGGTTTGTCAAATTGACAAAATACTAACCAGGGCACTCCCTAAGCTTGGGAAAGAAACAACTCAAAGGCTTCAGGTTTAAATGAAAATTCCCCCAGTAGGCTTGTAGGGAGTGGCACTATTAGAAGTTGTGGTCTTTCTGGAGTAGGTGTGGCCTTGTTGGAGGAACTGTGTCACTGGGGGTGGGCTTTGAGGTTTCAAATGCTTAAGTGAGGTCCAGTGTCTCACTCCGTCTTCCTTCTGCCTGCAGATCCAGATGTAGAACTCTCTGCTACCTCTCCAGCCCCATGTCTGCCTGTGTGCTGCTGTGCTTCCTGCCAAGATACTAAACCTCAGAACTGTAAGCCAGGCCCAATTAAATGTTTTCCTTTACAAGAGTTTCAGTGGTCATGGTGTCTCTTCACAGCAATAGAACCCTAAGACAATTAGGCATATATAAATAGTAAGGACTTCTGAGAAACGCCCTCAGACAAGCTGAGCTAACTATAAGAGGCTCAGACCAGTCAGGCTGTCTGGAAGAGGCAGAATGATCCTTGAAGAATCACCTGGAAGAGGCTCATATCACCTGAGCTGGCTGGAAGAGAAGTCTCCAGGCTGTTGAGCCATTTTCAGGCTCTAGGTTTCCAACTTCTGTGAGCTGCCCCCCATGTTAGGGTAGGGTGTGGTAGTGTAGCTGTCTTTGTGTCATTTCTTACCCAATAAGTAACCTTTCGCCCATATTCCTGTAAGAAAAACAAAAACAAAATGCAAACAAACAAAAACCTTATTGGCTCACCAAGAGGGCCTTTGGTGCTATCCATACTTGGTTGGTCATCAATTCTATTCTTGGGATGAGTAGAAGTTCATTCTTACCTTTTGTGAAACAGTGTTGCACATTGTAAACGCAAAGCAGTGTAAGACTCCGGCAAGTAGTTTTGACCAAGGTTAAAACCTGAATCTTACAAAAGTCTGAATCTTTCAAAAAGAGGGAAACAGACAGCCACAGATACAGCACATAGCTTCAAGGGGTCAGCATCTCACAAGGTGTATCTCCAATCCCGTTTGTCATCCCTGGAGTCTCAGAGTGGGAGAACATAGCTGCTGGTGCTGAGACTGTGAAAGGAAAAGCATGGAGACCCTGTTTGGCTCAGCAGAGCACATTGGGGCTTCTTTTGGGGAAACAAAGTAGCTACTTTGACCCTCTTAGAATTGCAACTATTCTTTTAAGGGGAGGGCACAAGAGAAGGGGCAAGAAATTCCCCCTGACCCTAAGGGGCTTTCTGAGCTAGGCCAGAATACCAGGGCCTTAAAGGATGTGGTGGGGACACAGGCCACTGGTCTTGTATTCAGTGTTCCAGGGGTTAAGAACTGTCCCCAAAGTCACAAAGATCTGTATGAAGACCTGTATCAACACAGATGTGACTCTAGTTCCCAATTACCCAAACCAAGGAATTAGCATAAACACTGTGTGAGTGTCTTAGGCCTCTCAGCAAGAGGCAAAGCTAAAAACTCAGGGACAGATACCACCACAAGCTGGGCAACCCCCTCACCACAAATAGTTCTGGTGGAAATAAAAGTAAGATTCATAAAT